TTTGGTTTGCCTAGAACTATTGAACTTGAATGAAATTTGTAAACTTCACCGCGGACCTTATTCTTTAGTTTTGCAGCAGATTTGCAGAATGCTAATATGTCATTTTTTAATGGGAAATTACCCAAAATAGGAGCAAATGACACTTGGAATTCCAAAAATAGGACTAGTATGTTTTTCTTCCCGAAATAGGAGTTATTACTGTCATGTATGAAAAATACTGTCATGATTGAAAAATACTGTCATGATTGAAAAATACTGTCATTAATTATAATAAATACTGTCATGTTAAATGCATTGTACTGCAACTATTTGGCACTCACGCCTACACGATGACAGTAAATATTATCATGTTAGTCCCATTTCGGGAATAAAAACAAAGTAGTCCTATTTTGGAATTTCAAACTTCATTTACTCCTATTTTGGGAAATCTCCCTTTTTTAATTTACACCACGGTATTTGTCATTGAATTCGTTTACCATAGCTTTTTTGTTAAATATTCTGAGGGAATTGCTATTATTAAATTGCTGAAATGAAACATGTGGGCTGTGTTCTTCCTCTTTTTTGTTACGAGTATAATTTTGAGAAAATTCAAAAAAACTTATTATACGTATTTTTTGTGATAAATCTTTCTTTACTTGAAAAGTGGGATGAAATGCATACTTGTTGAAAATATGAAAATCCTGGAAAAAAAATTTTACATTCAAACTATTTATTCTCAGTTTATAGTAAATTTCTTTACCATACGAGTGATTTTTAATTGAATTTTGTAATTATCAAAATACATAAAGTTAGAGTTACTTTTAAATGAAATGCATGAAAGAGAATATTTTAACTATTTTCATGTAATTTTTTTTATTTCATTAATAAACTACTAGTTCTGTTCCATTGAATTTTGTTAAATTTGAATTATGTAAAATAATAAAATATAAGAAAAGTAAAAATTCTACTATTGAGGTTTGTGAAGAATAATGATAAATAAACATAACCACAAATTAATTACGGATGGTAAAGTGACAAATTGTTTGACATAATTATATGAAATATATCTTAAATATTTCATATATAATTTTGGCGAAATTCAACAAGAATAATCCTTTCTGAGAGTGTTCATAAAAATAATCCAAACTAGCAATACTGTCTACATTAATAAATTGGGGTAAATTCAAACTCATGACTGTTTAATACTTCTCAAAAACTACCTCCACTTTTTCCTTCATCACTCTTCATTTTGGGTAACACTTCTATCTCCCAACCTAGAGATAAACACATATAGTGAAAATAATGTTGAGATTAAACGAGTTTTAGTTTCAATTCACCAAAAAAAGAGTGAGGAAGAGAATAGTGCGAGCAGGGTTGAGAGTGTTAAAAAGGCAATAGTTTGAATTTACCATAATTTATTCTTATGAACACGATTGCTAGTTTGAATTATTTTTGTGAATAATTTCAATAGAGATTATTATGGTAGAATCCTTATTAGTTTGAATTATGGTAGGATGGACCTTGTGAATTCCACCTATAATTTTTTCATAATTGATCACAATTAGTTGCTTTAACATTTAGAACCAATTCTTTCAAAAAAAAACATTTAGAACCAAAATTTTAATTAGGAGATTCATTCATGATAATGATGTTTATTTTGGACGTTTGTTTCATCCGGCGCACACATTTATTATGTTCATAAACATTTTTACAGTTTTACAGTGTGAGGTTACTTTATCACTTCAGAGGCTCAGAAAAATGCACTTTTTGCAGGCTCTTCTTCAAAAGACAGAGTTTCCTCCTTTGAATCAGTTTTCAAATTCTCCAGAAGGACGTTTAATTACATCTGCTCACTCGTTAAAGACGAGATGATGTCCAAACACGTCAACCTCACCGATCTCTCCGGCAATCGTCTCTCCCTCAACGATCGAGTGGCGGTGGCGCTAACACGTCTGAGCTCCGGCGGCTCCCTCTCCGTTCTCCGAGACACCCTCGGGATTCACCAATCCGCCGTCGGGCAGATCACGTGGCAGTTCGTGGAAGCCATGGAAGAGCGAGCGCTCCACCATCTCCGGTGGCCGTCGACGGCGGAGGACATCAGGGGTATAAAGGACAAATTCGAGAGCATCCGGGGGCTGCCTAACTGCTGTGGGGCCATTGATGTCACCCACGTCACTTTCGGTCAGTCCTCAACCGGCCCGTTGGGTCAGATCTGGTGCGATTCGGATAACCACCACCAGCATAGTATGATCCTTCAGGCGATCGTGGACCCCACGATGAAATTCGTCGACGTTTTCGCCGGTCTGCCGGGGAGTATGAGCGACGGCGAGACGCTCCGGTGCTCGACCTTCTTCAAACTCGCGGAGGAAGGGAAGCGGCTGAAAGGCGAGGCGCTGAAGCTGGCGGATGGGACGGAGATCCGAGAGTACATAGTCGGGGATTCCGGATTTCCACATCTGCCCTGGCTTCTCACGCCTTACCGGAGACGGAGCCGTCTTCTCCATCACCAATCGGAGTTCAATCGCCGCCATTCTGCAACCAGAAAAGTGGCGCGACGGGCGTTGTCGAGGCTGAAGGATCAGTGGAAGATCATTCAAGGAACAGTGTGGAGGCCCGATAAGCACAAGTTGCCGAGGATCATACTCGTTTGTTGTCTTCTCCACAATATACTCATTGATTTGGATGATGAAATTCAGATGGAGGCTCTGTTATCGCAAAATCACGGCTCCGATCACCGGAAAAGGAACAGAGAGGTGGCTCATAATAACAAGAGTGCTTGGAATCAAAGAGAAAAGCTTGCTCTTTGTCTCTCTGGGGAGCAAGTTTCATCACATCTTTCTTAGTTGCAGTGATTTAAGCACTGTTGTGCAATGTGCCAATGTGCACCTTCTCATTAGCCTTTAGCAACTGTGAAAAATTTATGGTCTTATACACATTAGAAAAGGATCAGTAGAAAGTTGAAACAAGCTTGATCAGAGTTATGACCAAATGTTTTTACTTCTTACTCCGTACTTCTTAGCTCCACCGATCCATCCCATTTTATAATCATATTATCCTATTGACGGTCTACTTATACTCCATAATACGAGTAATAATAATACGTACTTCTTTAAGTTTCGTCTTTCCTTTTCGGGTAGATTTAAATTATGTTCAATTTTCAAACATTTCCTTATTAGGCAAATTATCTACATCAAAACAATGTTAAACAATGTCAAACAGTGTTCAAACAGTGCCAAACAGTGTTCAAACAATGTCAAACAGTGCACTTCACAGTAAATAAGGAGTACTACCTCCGTTCTCATTTTAACTTCCAAATGGGTTTGACACAAAGTTTAAGATAGTGGATATTGTGTGGTGGAGAGTTGTGCACAGAAGAGAAAAATGTGTAAGAAATGTTGTGAACCACAAATTCTTTACCAAAAAGGGAAAATGGAAGTTTTAATTGGAACGGACGAAAAAAGAAAGTTGGAGTTTATTTAGGAATGGAGGGAGTATCTATTATTTTTGAATGGATCATTCTTGGTGTATACTATTTGTGTACATTGCCTGTGTAAAAAAGCAATTACGAGGGTTTTGACATCAAGTCCTGCCCATTTTTAAATGAATTGCTTGTATACGAGGCAACTAGGGGGTTTTGTGTGCACTTTGTGTACACCTCATGTACACTAAGAATTTTCTATTTTTGAATAATCTTAATTTTAGAGATCATTCACCGGTAGTGCACTCACATGACCGCTTATTGTTTAGTCATTTTTTTAAATGACTTATATTAATATCATATAATCCAACTAAACAACAACAAGACCAAACACATCAGACAAGCAAGAAAGGTCAAAAAAACATTATTCGATCATACCCTCTGAGATCACTCAAAAAATGTCTCCCACTTAGGAACAATATGATTCGCTAATCTCCACTTGGGCAACTGTAAGTCAACCATTATCGATGATGTATTCTCGTCACTTATCTTATAATATACGTGCCACAATCCAAAAGTAAAAAAAATATTGTAGACCTAACACTAAAGACATCAACGGAAAACAAAGCAACATAATCAAACATAGCGTGAAAATAAGATCATAAAAAATAAAAATACTGGTAAAATTTTGAACTTTTTCATGGCAGTTTTCTTGATCACTCCACGATGGTGATTCAGGAGGGGGGAGGACCGTCAATCTGTCTTCTCCATTGTTGTCAGACCTCCAATTTTGATCTATATAAGCACGTCCAGAAGCATAAACCATAGAAGCAAACCATGGAGAAGCACAACATGGTAACGATTGTCATCCCATTGTCGCTCCAAATCATTTCCCGAACAATAAACGGCGCAAACCGCTTGGGGGAGAAAACAAATCCTAGACGAAAGCTAGGGAGTAAACGCAGGCCGCGGGCTACAAGCCCCACCAGAAAACGCGGCCCCAAGAAACCTAGGGAAGAACTCTCACTGAAAAGCAAATTTGAAGATAAAAAAAACTTGAAAAAAGAGAGGTCACCACTTGTCGCCAATTCGTGGACGGCAACAACCAGACTCCTTTGATATTAACTAATCGGATTAGAGGAAAATCCACTGCCGCCGCCTAGCTTAGGGTTTTGTTTCATCGCTTTCTCAATGATTTTTTATGTTTTTGACCTATTTAGTCAATCAAAAAAATGTATTTGGGTGTAATATCACTACTAGATTTTCTCTTATTTGCTGCTCCTCATTTGCTGCGGTCCAAAACAAAACCGCAACAATTAATGAATTTTTTTAGTATTTGCTGTGGTCATAAAGAAACCGCAGCAAATAGGTACACTTTTTATAGTTATTGCTGCGGTCACCAGTGAACCGAAACCAATAACAATTCGATTTTTGTAAATATTACTCCCTCCGATTACAAAAAAAGAAAATAAATTTGACTTTACTGTGGAGTATTTTTTTTTTCTACCTCTTGCTACACTTGAATTAGGACCGCATCTGTACGTCCAAAAGATATTACTTATTTGATGCGGGCGCCTGAAAACTGCAACAATTGCGTTGCTGAGTAGATAGGGTTTTCTCTAAACTGCCAAGGAATTTCACGGGCTTGCATATGGATTCTTCCTTATTCCGCCCAAGAGATCGCCGCACCCCTACAAGCGGTACACCACGTCGCATCCCTCCCAGCGGTACACCGCCGTTGCATCCCTCCCAGCGATACACCGCCGCCGCATCCCTCCAAGCAGGACACCGCAGTCGCATGTTTCCCAGCACACATCGTCGTCGCCTACCTCCCAATAGCAATCTGCCATCGCCGTAGTCTAGGGAACAAGCTATAGTCGCTGCTCGGCATGAAGTAACCACTGCCCCGAACAGCAATCCGCCTTCTACTTATTGACTCCTCTGCACATATTAAAGGTTTATTCCTCAATCTTGTTTAATTTCAAGTAGTTTGCTTTAATCTTATTTGACTCCCAGCTAATTCTCCGCCACCGGTGGTTCTCCCTACCAATCGTTGTTGATTGGTGTCGCAGATGATTCCTCCGATTAGGGTTGCCAAGGGTTCTGCTAAAGAATTCTATCATCCAGGTTATATATGCTTAATTGATTTTTAATTTTAGATGTATGTTTAGTGTGTTTTTATACATGCTTAAATGTGTTCTTCCCATTTTATACCTATATGAAATTAATTTCAGTAGTGTTGGTTTTAGATAACAGTTTTTGTACTAATCATCTTACTAAATAGAAAATTAACTGTGTACATTATCGTAAAATCCAACAAAGTGAAGGGAAGCATGCTTTGAGATTAAATGTTGTGCAATAGCAAAGGCAACCCGATTTGTACGATGATTTGGCTTCAACATCAACAGTTGTAGTCTAGTTTCAACAAAGCTCGTTAAGTCACACATTTGTGCCTGTGGAAATTAATAGGATAAAATTTATTGGTGCAGGAGCATTCTATTTTGTTTGGCAATACTTTTTGTTGCAGGTCTTTGACTTGTTGATGCTTTTGATACTTTTTAGTTTTAGAGATTAATTTTTTATTTCAAGTGTTTAACGTATGTTAATGCAGTGCTTATGTGGATTCTCAGTTTACAAACATCAAGGGGCAGAACCATTTCCTTTATAGATTGTTGTTATATAATTTGATTAAATAGAACTCTAGAGTTTTAATTCTTTTCCATGTGCTTGGTTAATCCGTTTAATGTGTATTTTTTATATTCAAACGTGTTTTTTGCAGGCCTGCCTTTTCAACCTGGGAGGAGAAGAACACAGCCAATGAAGAGAAACGACAAATTTAGCTGCGAAGAATTGAACAGGCATTCCGGGGCTTTTGTTTTGCTTTTTGAAAAAGTAAAGTCATATTCCAGCAATAATTTATGTTTTCTACTCTTAGGGGTCACGAGGTTTCATCGTGATAGGAGGATTAATGAGTCTTATATGTTGATGTGTATCTCATATTTGACCGATGTGAGCCACTCAACATGACCAACAAGATAGTGACCAATTTGTGCAGATCAATCCTGAAATTTGACTGCGGAGCCTTAGTCGGTTTATATGCTTGGTTGGTTCTGGTGCCACATTAAGATTGAGTTTCATTTTGAACAATTCTGATCGTTTATCTAGGTGAAATAGGGTGTATCTCTATCGGGGAGATACTTAGGGGAATCGTACCCCAAGAACATGTAATGGCCGTAAACAGCCAAACAAAATTCACTTGAGGCAAGAATTTGTTCCCTGGAAAGCACCACTACGGTAAATGAGAGTTACCTCATCATGTTGTCTCAATTTGTTGTAATTGAAGGAGTAACCAAGCTCTTGTAATTTTAGGAGTAACCAAGCTCTTATAACATAGTTTCACGGAAACATTTCCCATAGCAATACATTTCCTATAACCAAACTGAGCCAATCTCAATTACAGTAATTAAGCATCTTATTACATCAAAAAGTGATTTTTTTACAGGTGGTGATGATGCTTTCTGCCGGTTATTTCAGAAACAGGAGTGATTTGCCAGGAGCTGTTTGGACATACCCTATATCAGATATAGCATTCCATACGTACTCTATCCAGGCATGATTTCCAACTTGTTTAATAATGATATAGACAATATATGTGTTTCATCTACCACTTTATCTAATAACAGTAATCTTCTTTGCACATTAAGGGAGTTTTGGAGAATGAGTATATCGGCACGTCCTTCGCTGTGGGGCCTGAGAGGAGCATATCTGGTGAAGAGGCGATCCGGAACGTTTATCAAATATCAGGGGATAGCAACGCCAAATGGAAGCATTTGTTGGTATTATTTATTATGGCTGTTCTGTACCGTGCTTTTACTTATGTAGTGCTGAGAATATGTGGTTGGAGAAATGTCTCTGGGCATAAACTTCTCCATCGTAAGAAACTTTTCTATAACATGAAGCACAAAATAGTAGCAGCGTTTGCAAGGATTCACAATTTAGAACACATGACTTCATGATGTGATCTATGCTTATTGCTTACTACCCGATGGGAAATTATTTGAGAGTTGAGATTTCGTTCTTTCATATAACACAATTACATAGAAGACACTCACAAATATGTCTAAGAGCTGCCAAAATCTTCTAATTAATGGCTCATACTAGATAAAATATGCTTATATTATTATAGCCTTAACTACAATATACTACGTAATATAATTTCTTTTTCTTGAGCTGATTATTAATTTCATGTAATTAGCATTAGTTTATTTGGATTCTTGCAGTCAACCATACACAATCCATCAATGTTTCCTCTCAAGGAAAAGACGATAAAGAGCAACGATTTTAGCCATGGTCCCTCCCCGCCGCTTCCTTTTAGCCATGGGCAAAGAATCAGTCGATGAATATTTACGCAAGCCTGTGGAATGCACATATGGCCAATCCTAGAGCAGCGGTGACATGTGATGATTTATTGCAAAATTATTGGTTTTGATAAACTTAAGAAAGGATGATGATACCTATTGTATGTATTTTGAATTTTGGTGATGTGTAATTTAATTATATTGGAGTTATGATTTTGATTTGTATTATGAGATACCGATATCGTCAAAACGAATGTTTATACTCCCTCTGTCCCTTAAAACTTTGCCAGGTTTGACCGGCACGAGGATTAATAAAGTAAAAACTGTGTGGTTGAGGTTTGTGTCGAGGAGAGAGAATTAACTGTGACCACAAATTCTTTACTTAAAAGAGAAAGTTACAAAGTTAGTGGGACACTCAAAAAGGAAAGTTGACAAAGTTATAACAGACGGAGGGAGTATAAGTTTATAAGCATGAGTTGTTTTTTGTATCTATACACCATCATTTCGGGTAGTATAATATAACAAAATTCATTTTTTTTAAAATTGGCTATTTGCTGCATTTCGGAACCACATCAATAAGTCAAAACTCAATTTTTTAAAATTAGTTATTTGCCGCGGTTCGGAACTGCATCAATAAGTCAAAATCTTTTTTTAAAAAAGTAGCTATTTATAACAAACATTTTAATACTCTGTCCGTTCCACCTAAAAGGTTGTTACACAATTTACGATGTTCGACTGACCATGAAACTAACCGATCTCTGTCAATAATAAAATTATTTTTAGTAAATAAAATTTACATATTTAGACACCACATTAAAAGTTTTATAAAGTCACAAAAAATAAAATTTGATAACAATTGAATATATAAAGAAATTAAATGAAAAAAGATAATTAATTGAAGATATTTTCGAAAGAAAATTAGATCACCCCAGAAATGAGATAACCTAAGACCTGAATGGGTTTAAAATCGCTCCTCCTTGGCGCACCTCTAGAAAGGCTGGGCGCACCTTTTTTCTCCCAGGAGTGAGACATATTTGTCCTCCCTTCTTCGTACTCATGTTGCAAGTCCTGCATCGTTAATTAATTAACTATTCATTTAATATTAATACGTAATACTTAATAGGAGTACACATGCCATATGCCCACACCCAATAGTTTTTTATCCAATAGTTTTAAACAATGTGGCAAGAAATTATTATTTTTATAAAATGTGGTAACTTTTTCATTTGTGTTCCAATTTTACAAACAATATATCAAATTAAATGATTTGTTATAATCTTTCATATGATACCAATATTAAACATATAAAACTAAAAAAAATCTAGTCATGTTTAAGCTTGATCCAATCAACGACTGATAAATGTATATTTTACTAAAGTTTCCCACATTTAGTTCTGTGAGTATTACCAAAATGATATTTTTAGTCCTTTCACTATCATTTTGACATAATAAGAGGATGACTAAAAATGTAACTATTATATTAATTGAAAAAGTGTTACTTTTATGAAAGTCGAATGGCTAAATGTTGAAGTTTTCAAAGGCAAGTACTAAAAGTCTAAAAGTATTTTTCGCACAATAGTCGAAGGACTAAAAGTTGAAAAAATCAAAGTCAATTATCAAAAGTGTCAGTGACATAATAGTCAGAGATATAAAAATGTTTTTAATCTTAGACAAACTTAAACATAACAAATCAGACCAAACTTTGATAGTAGTACAATACACATAGAGAAAACATCTACGAGACCACATTAGATTAAACCAAACTTAGACATACCAGACCAACCCAAATCAGATCGGATTAGACCAGGCAAGAATTAGTGTCCATAATAAATGAATTTATGTCAAATTTTAATTTTTCCTTCTTATAGATAAATGTCTCCTAAATTAATACTTTAGTAAAATACACATTTAATTAATAGTCGTTCATCAGATCAAACTTAAACAGATTTGATCAGATTTCTTTTTGAAATTTTACATATGTAAAATTGGTGTCATACGAAAGATCACATGAATCTCTTTAATTTGGTATATTTTAAGTAAAAAATGAATTACAAATGAAAAAGTTATGACATTTTACAAAAATAATAATTGTTGTCATATGACTAAAACAAATAATAATCAGTTTTGCAATTGATTAAAATGGATGGGGTGTGGCGTGTAAAGTGTAAACATCTACCCGTAGTTTTAGTTTTAATTAAAAAAAGTTAAATTCGTCTTATTGGGGTTACATTAAGTAAAATTGGTGGTGCGCCAAGCAACACCCGTTTAAAATTCTCCTCCATATAACATTCTCGGGAATCTAACTTTCTTCATTTTTCTTCAAAACTGTGAATTAAACGGGCCGTTAAGAGAATGCTTGGGAAGGATTGAAGGAATGTGGTTTCCCGAAAACTTAACTGAAATAAAATGACAGCCCGGCGTTACCAAGCTTCCAACTAGGGTTTAACAATGGAAACCAGAAAATTTCAAGTAAAGGACATCCTCAAAGAGAAAAAGTTCTGGATCGCCTCTTTCCTAATCGTATGGGCCGCTGGTCTCCAGGTAACTCGCTTGTCATATTAATCAATTAATGTTTACATAGTTGCACTATACTTGGACATGGTCTCTGCAGATTAGTGTGTGATAATCTGTTTTGTTCTAATTTTGAAATTGATTACGTTTGGATTCATTGTATGTTAGGGACATATGATGTGGTTGAAGAGGCAAGATTCCTTCCAGCAGAAATTCGGGAATGTAAAAGACGAAGGCGTGGAGAATCCGTAATGGAACCTGTACAGATTTTGAGATCTTGAATGAAAAACTGGTCACTGTAGTGAGGATTATTGTATGATTTATACCTGTATTGCTTCTTCAGTGGTTTATAATGTCTGTAAACGTCCAGTTTTTGTTTTCAATGTGAATAAATCAACATATTGATATTCTTTTACTGGCATCATCAGCCTGTTGATGAATGTTGAAGAATATAATCCATTTATGTAAGAGAAGTCACATATGTTTTAGAAGAATACATGCCATAAGAAGTCAATGATGATGACATCAGGTTGAAGTTATGTGTTTTGTGATAATTATAGCTTCATTGAAATGACAATCTCACTTCTGGTGATCTATGTTATACAGAAACCTGGGAAATATGAGGAAAGGTTAAAACAGAAAATGTCATCCTTTAATAGAAAAACAAGTGTTTGTTAAGTTTGTTAAGAATTTCTGAACTCTCTTTCTTGAGAAACTCTTAGCTGGTGATTGGTGAACAAGAGTAAGGCTAGTGGTATGGAACCCCTTAGGTAAAGGTTTGGGGAAGGCCGAAATAACCTTTAAAAAAATGAGAGGGTAGCTCTAATGCCTTCAAGTGAAAGGTATTTTCGCTCAAATCTGCACCATTTCCTAGGCCTTTCACTGGTCTACTAAATCTTTTCCTACTCCTAGTTTCATAAATGCCCCTTGATTGATAACCATGGCAGAGATGGCCCGAAGCTTCAAGGCTAACAATGAGCTTAGTTTTGCAATGGAGCCAAAGACTTACTATTGTTTCGCTTGAGAATATGATGAAATGAAGCAAAATGTCTCACTAAAATGTCTGCGTTTCTTTGTTATGAAGCAATAGTCAGTTCATGCAATTTTTGAAGCGATTTTCACCTTGGGTCATTCGGAAGCAGTCTCTCTGTGCTTTAGTACATGAGTAATGTGGAAGATCCTAGATCAACAGTCGATTAACTAATATGCAATAATATGGAGAAATTGAGTAGAAGAAGAACAATTCATCAACAATCAATACCATATATTCATAATGATATTGAAATATAGCATGATACACGTATGAATCGTTGAAAGAGAAAACTAGAGGTGCTCTATGAGAATAATAGGTGCGGAATAAATTGTGTAGAGTCTTAGGCTTCTCTCTAACGTGGGAGTTCCAAGAATGATGCGTGTGGGTATTTCAGAATTGGGAACTCATAGGCATGTTCGGTCATAGTGCTACTATTTATAGGCATATGGCTGAACATCCTAGTTACAATAGGATGGACCTGATTAATCTAATTAAATGGCCCGAATTAATTACAAAGCCCCACTAATAAAATCCAATAGATAAAGATAAATCTAATTAAATTGAACACAATAAAATTGTTCTAACAGGTAAGATTACGTACATCCGACCTTCCTTAGCCCATCGTAGGTGGGAGCCTTTTTTAGACCGGGGTAATGATGAAGATGATGGAAAAGAACCTTTCCCTTTGTGCATAAACCTTTCTCTAATTTATGTCTTTCTTAGTTTGTTTTTTCTGCTGAGTGTACTGAAATATGGAGATGCAACTGATGAAGAGCGGGTGACATATCTACTGAGCAGTGGCAGTAGGTATATTCAAAAGGACTTTATTTGTTTCAACTGAATCTTGTGCTTTTGGTGCTAGACTGATAGCTGTTGAAATATGTTGCTGTCCACTTGGCTGCAACGGGCTATATGTGTGCACAAAATTAGCCATACAAAATGCAGATGAGGCAAAGTTGTCCGCTGGTAGATAGTATAAGAGCAAAATTGGTGATTTTATCATTCTCCAATACATGTATGTGTGACCATTCTACTCCTTGTATACAAGGTGAATCTCTAACTGTTCAAATTGCCCCTAAAAATGGTAGGAGGTTTATAACCATATGAGATCATATTTGTGTGTTCTTCTTTGGTGTTTCAACTTTATTCTCATTTGGTGTTTTAGCATTCACCTAAACTAGTAGGTCTGCTTTCTCTATCCGAAAGGACCGAAACATTTTGTAAACCAAAGCTCCTGCAAAGTCCGTGAAAACTGGGCTATTTTTTTTTAAGATTTGGGTACTTTTTGTGTTCTCAAAGGTAACCAAATACGGAACGAGTGTAAAAAGTTTGGTTCGGTTCTTTATTTCCAAACGTGAAGGCTTCCATACTAAACTTGGGCCCTGGGCATGTGCCCCCTGCCCCCTTCCAGAACCGGCCCTGTGTGAAGCCATATTTTGATTGGTTCTGTTTTGTATTTCGAACCAGCACTACGTTATCATTTTGGTTCAGTGTTTTCAAATTTAAAAGCTCTGAAGTTTTTTCTTTCATTTTTTAAACGTTTTGTATTACATGTTAGTTTTTCCCCTTCAAATGATTGAACAGGTTGTGAAATACTAGTATGACATTAACTGCAACTACAATATTATGATGTATACACATATAATATTTACGTATTTTTTCAAACAATACCATTAGTTTATTTTTGTGTTACTGCGTGATAGACTTATCGACTTGGACTATACAATATTTGCAACTATATCCCTAAATATTTCCTCGTTTCTTAGATGATGCGGTATAATAAAATATTACTAGTACTGTCAAATATATTACTAAAATGTCATTGCTTGTATGGCCACATATATTACTAGTAGACTGTCAAATATAGTCATTACACATTGATGAGATCACATTTTTGTCAATGCCATTTATTTTAATACTCCTTCGGTCTCTAATTGACAGTTTCGTACTTGTTAGGTACAAAGTTTAAGAATACGGGACAAGTTCACCTAACTATTTAACTTTGTATAAAAAGATACCCCGTTTCGATGGTCTAAATTTTTCATAAAGATAATGTTAAATGTACATCTTATATAAAAAGTGTGTTGGAAAAGAAAATGGTACTATTAATTTGGGATACTACAAAAGATATATGGGACTATCAAGACAGAGATAGTAACATACTACATATTTTATATCACTTTGTAAGGAAGATTGTCATTGTAGTGACTTCATGAAATGACTATATTAGATTTCTTACCTCGATACTTCAAGTTCCCAGAATTGCCTCATACGTATAACATATGGAAATTAGATTAGATATAACGCCACCCATGAAGGGGTTCATAATTGGAATTAATATAAATATTAACACTTCAAGAAAAACATCACTGTCTATCCTTGACAAGCCACTTTGGTGTCAAAGCTGCTTAAGCATATGGCGAAAGCCTCAAACGCAGATAAAGGATATCGATAATCCATGGTGAAAACGTCCTCCCCAACCTTCCCAAATTGTAGAATGACCTCATTATGATCCGAATGACAGTCCCGCTCTACAAAAAGTTGGAAATTCTTAACTGATTTAACGGTTACCCGCCCTTTAAAGTCTAGGCACCAAATATGCAACTTTTCATGCCAGCATGGCTGCTTGTTCTCAAGAACCAATGGTTTCGACTCGGGAGTTGAATGGATGGTACAGTGCATTTTGCGCGGAGCTCTTGGTCCAAGAGCATTGAGATTGTACGTGATGTGACCTAGTTTATAGCTTTCTTCGGTTTGAACATTAGGAGAGACTTTCTTGGAATATAACATCTGACTTGGGTGCTCTGGAGTGAGGATGTTTGCTCTAGTCCATGCAAGCTGTGTGTCATAGATTGTATATTTTGTTCCCACAAAGTTTGATCTGTAAGAATCCCATGATCTTGATCTCATCATTTGGTATTGTTAAAATGAACAGTACAAAGAATGAAAGAAATCAAAGGTTACAATGTTACATATTGATGTAGAAAATACGAAGTAGCATTTATGCAATACATGCCCTTCAAATTGGTATGAAGTATTACTCTTTAAATGCCTTACCCATATGGTTCTAGAAAATATTAAGCTCTTAAATTTTATCATAAAAGATCTACCAAAAAATCACGCAAGATGGTGACTCTCAGAAGCATAACAGTTTCAAGCCATTTTTTAAGGCTCACAAGTACCAAATTTCTATTTTGAGCTTAACACATGCTCCTATACCATATTGGACTTGAAATTCGATTATATGTGTTTTAATATGATATGGTTTAAGAGTAAGATGAAAGGTATAAGCATTGTTAATAGCTTTTACCTGAGTTTCCCAATGCACGTCTTGCTTGATTGAGAGATTTTTTCTGCATTGGATGATATGACATATTCTGTGAAAGGAATTGTCTGAGTTCTTTTAGCAGAGAGAAGGAGCTTCCCCTTTTCAACTAGCAAAGCTGAAAAAGGTCAGTTCAGAATGTGCATAATACTATTATTCATCAATTATTAGAACCATTGTGTGTCTGCTGATTGAATGTAATTCCAAACATAGAGAACATCAAGTTACCAGGAGTTGGACATGAAAAGAGATAGTATGTTGATTTACGCTTGTCCCGCTGGATAAAGCATTGAATTGTTCCATCCTTTGGCCCGGGCTGAAGATGAAAAAAATGACAAAACTCAGCAATTCTTCTTCACAATTTTAAAAAATTATTTTTGTATTCCATCTTAACATCGTCATATTTAGTACTCCGTAATCCGTATATAACAACTCAAGGGGAATTTACTATTAACATGAATCTGTACAAGAACAGATGTATATGACAGTTTGAAGAAAGACAGACCTGGTTCAATGGATCTCTAACCATTTTCTTACACAAAGAAAGTAGTGCTACTCTCCAGCTTCTCTGTTGCTATTGGCTAAAAGAAGCAATTTGTTGCAAGAAAACCCTGCAGAAACATTTCACCTTCAGTAAACTATAGGCTCATCAATCCACTTTTGCTTTCGTATGATTTTTAATAGTCCTAACTATATGGTTATTTATGTACTTCATCATATCTCCTCATAAGTATAAATATTTGTGGCAAGACTACCTATTGGTATGCCAGGTTATTATTTTTCAGTTATAAATTATACCGCGTAGACACATACACAGATATACATTTCCATCCATCCATACATGCATACATCGAGGAAAATGATGATATTAGGATTTCTTGACAGTTCCATTGAGGAAAGAATCAAAACAACCTTTGTTGACTCAAACACAACGCGGTAAGAGGGATCAGTGGCTATTGTGATTCCTTCCTGATTGAAAGCTGTATGTATGTGTGTATGTTGGCCTGCTGATAAAATATAATGATTGAAATAATGTAGACTAGAAGTGAACAAAGGTTTATACACAAAGATTGAATGCAAGAATGAATAAGATCAGCTTAGAGAATTAAAGATTAGACCTTTGCTACAAATGCAAAGAACAAACTAAGTGGAGAAGCAAGAAAACATGATTGGAGACTGGATATAGAACACACACAGAGAATATATAATTTTCTAACTATGAGTGGGTATTGGTAGGTTTAGCAAGTATTGATATGAAGTTAAATCGATGGACCACTTCAGGGAAGGTAATATTTGGTCTTAAAATAACTTATACTAGTATTTGATATAATATGGATCTCCTAACTTATTTTGAGTTAAAAGTTATGGACTTTTGAAAATAATCTAAACTTGAAATGAAGAAAATTCGATTTGTAGTAGTTGTTAACCTTCAAATTTTAAAAATAGCGGTTTATTCACTCATTAACTATGCGAAGTTTATACTCCTTAATATATTACGGAGTATATGATCAAATAAATAATTCTCTGAATTTTATTTAAACTAACTAATGTTTATCTCACTTAAATATGAAGTATTCAATTCAAATATTGTGTCAAAAGTCAAAACCATTTGACATTTTGACACTCTGATATTAAGAAGTGGTAGAATAAATAGCTATGGGGAAGCTAGGAAACTTATAATTGCTAAACTATGATTTGAACTTGGGAAGAAAATATGTAAAGAAAAAGATATATGAAAATATTTACAGCTACACTGCAATATACTATTGCGAGGTAAACATTCCAAAATCTAAAATAAGTTACTTCTTGTATTCTTCATATAGATGGAAAAACATTGCATTATTCATTATTCATTCACATGTCTTGTCATGTCCCTATTAACGCATTTGGCAAGTCATTCTCTAATTACCTTTTAATGGGTTTCTCATGTTTTAGCAAAGGCGTGTAAGAATAAATAATAGGGAAAAGTACAAAAAAAAGTATATGTGGTTTGAAACGTTTTCAGATAGAGGCACATGTTTCATTTTTTAATAAAGGGACATGAGTTTCAATTCCGCTATCATAATTGGGGCATGTCATCCTCCCAAGATTTCTTTTAATTATTTTAAAACTTTTGAAAACCGGAGTTAATTTTTCTAACGGCGTTAGACGCCATGCCCCCTCATCTGTGATAACGGAATTGAAAAGCATTTCCCCCTTTGTTAAAAAATGAAACATGTGCCCTTATCTGAAAACGGGCCAAACCACAGGTCCATTTTCTGTACTTTTCCCTAAATAATACGGAGCATACTCTATTTATCCTATAAAACTATAAAAGTTGATCAAATATAATATGCACGTTAAAATTGAATACGGAGTATATATTAAAATTGAATGATTGAAATTTATACAGAAACAATGAATTAAAAGGAAATGTAACTTTTTGGAGGAAATAAGGTAGTGTGTCAAAGTTGTACGTAGGGTTCTATACGAATTAAATAATTTATGTTCAATTCGGGTTCGAATTCGTAAAAGACGATACGAATTCGAAAAATTCAAATACAAATACAAAATAAGAATACTAAATTTGATTCGAATTGTTATCAAATATACAAATACGAATTTCATTATATTCGATTCAAATGTTAATCAAATATATTCAATTAATTAATAATAGCGATGATGGTGATGGTGATGATGATGATGATGATGATGATAGTAGCAGTAGTAACACTATAATAACTTGTAAAGTTAGTTATACTCTCAAAGTGAAGCCCATGTATACATTTACGTATACATATTCCAAGTCAATTTGTAATAAATCAGAAATATGACGAGTAAGGGTTTTATACGAATTAAATAATTTTAATTTTGATTCATGATTTGGTTTCATAAATTATGATTTAAATTTCAAAATGTAGAATATAGAATACAAATCACTTGGTTCCAACATCTTTCGAATTCGAATACCAATAATTATGTATTTCATTCAAAGAATAATGAAATATATATTCATTTACGCATAAACAAAATCAACTATCTAGTATGTGTGTGGATCAACTACCCACTATATGTGTGTGCATGTAGTATAAATTTTATATATATATATATATATAATGAGGTTCAAATGAGAAAGTGATCTTAGGAGAGAAATAAGAATGAATCTGGACAGTTGGATTGTATTCTATAAAATTGAATGTGCATTAGGTAAAACTGAAATGTGCATTACATTAAATTGAAATGTGCAGGACAAAAGCTATGGCAGAGTGGGCACTATGTGAAGTTTAATTGTGCATTGGATTAAACTGAAATGTGCATAATAAAAGGTACAACATGATGACATTTCTGTACATTTCAAAATGCACATTTCAGTTTCAGCTAATGCATATTTGAGATTAACTTTTATTCTACACATTTGAATTTCTCCTAATGCACATTTCAGTTTCACCAAATACACAATCTAGTTTGACATAATCCGATCCAACGGTCCAGATTCATTCTCATTTCTCTCCTAAGAGTTTTTTCTCACCGGAACCACTCCATATATATATATGATGTTTTTAGTGGGTTAACTGCCACATTTGCATATTTGTGCTAAATATATACAATTATCAACTTGTTTCACACATCATAGGTATAATTTCTAAGACTTTGAAATATATTTATGTATAATAATCATAAAATTGGTTCACTTCAGTATAGTGTGCACAATCTAAAAATGAATTGATCCTTTAAATTTTAAAGATAAATGTAATGTTACAAATTAAATTCTAAAAACACATATTAATTAAGTCATCACATGCATTTATAAAAACACGTTCTTAAAAAACGTGACATATTCAGTGACTAGTTCTCAGTGACTCGTCTACCAGTGACTTGTAATTTGAAATACACTATAATGACTCTTATCCAGTTAATCATACCATACACAGTGACTAGTCATATTTCTATTCGGGGAAACTCTATAAGTAATATACATTTCATTTTTTCAAAATATTATCTCTACACTTTTAGAAAATAAAAAGAAAAAATTACATAAATATTACCAATTGAGGAGTTTTTTTCCGGATTAATGTTAATTAATTAAATAATTACGGAATTAATGCTGGGTTAAAACTATTTACCAATATATTGTTGGGCTTAACTCTAGTCGGGGAAAGTCGCCAAACCGTTTGGCGACTTATAAGTCGCCAAACCGGATGGCGACTTATAATTCGTCAAACCGTTTGGCGACTTCCCCCCTGCACATAAACAGGATGACTTTAGACAGAAAGAACGAGTGCAGCAACCAAAACAGCTCCGGCAAAGATCGATTTCAGCAGCCAAATCCACCTATAAAGGATACTCCTCAACCATCTTCTTCAACCTCTTCAACTCTAGGTAAATTAAATCCCCAACTTCATCTCATTTTTGAACTTAGGGTTTGCAATCGATATTTTTCAAATTTGTAAATTAGGAATTCATTTGTGAATTGATTTGTTGTGAAAATTGAATATGTATGAAATGAGGTTCAGGTGCTACATTTGCTGATACTAGAGAGATTTGATGTAGCTGCACACTTCAGTTGGGGTAGTGCCACGTTGGCTTATCTGTATAGGCAGTTGTGTCGCGGTTGTCAAAGTGGGAGCACGGAGGTTGGGGGTTTTCTGCTTCTATTGCAGATTTGGTCATGGGAGTACATTCACATTGGCCGTCCCATTATAGTACGATACCATGGGCTTGATGAAGAACCACTTCATGATCAGCCTCCACATCTTCTTGGACCACATCATCGACGGGGCGAGGACCCACTAGAGCGTAGGTATGTTTTACTTGATTATATTTGTTACCGTAAGTATAATATAGTTGTATTAATTATAATTGTATTAATATATATATACTCCCTCCGTCCCATAATTTTTTTCCCACTTTCCTTTTTGGGCCGTCCCAAAAAATTCTTCCCACTTACCATATTTGGACAATTTGTGTGGTTCACATTCATTTCACCTTTTTCTTACACGACTACAACCACACATTTCCACTTTATTCCACTTTCTTAATCTCCGTGCCAAATCAAAGTGGGAAGAATTTTCTGGGATGGAGGGAGTACTACATGAATGGTTAGATGTGTATTTGCTGACATGTGTCGCACATCATCGGCTTCGGGTCTCAGTTTCTATAGAGATGCATTTGATCGCATGTCTCATGATCAGGTACGGTGTATATAACTCACATTGTTATGGTTTCATATCATCAACTATGTGTTTCATATCATTATATAACATTAACTATGATGATGGATAGTGTACTCGAGGGGTAGCTTATCCGAGAGGTTATTTCGGGGAATAACTAGAGAGAAGTCAGAGCAATAAGTAAGAGAGAGAGTAAGTATTCAATATATGAATTGTTGTGTGTTACAATGGAAAAATAGGCTGCTATTTATAGTAGTAATAAATTCTAGGCATGGACACGTGTCGAACATCTGACGGCCGAGGGTCATCTCAATTGGGGTGGCACCGGCATTCGCATGTGGCCGCATTAAATGCGGTGGTTGGATGCGACGTTTGTACTTGGTATGGCGATTCATCGCATGTGGAGAGGAGATTCTGTCAAGGAGGATGCCGTCGGCTGTCCCTTCCGGCCGAAGGCTCCATGTGTCGAAGGCTCTATGTGCCGAAGGCCTGTATGTGCCGGGGCCTCCATGTGGCCGAAGGCTCTATGTGCCGAAGGCCTGTATTTTGAGTCTTGTTCTCCTGTGATGTTTCTGGACTTGATTTCATGAATGTTAAGCCTTCGGGCATGGGGTCGAAGGCTCCCCCTTGCGTATTATGGGCTATCTGGAGTCTTGTTTGCTGGGCTTGGCCCATTTGGACCTATTGGGCCTGATTGCAGTAGTGGAAGTATGTGGGCCGGGGGTTCCTGGGCCATATACTCCATCATATGATATGAATAAGATTAAGACTAATTTTTATCCTTATGAAACAGATTACATGGACGCCGTATACAGCTCAGATGTTAGAGGAGTTACTCCCGACAGGACGAGAGCATTATGCTATATGGAGAGCATGTGTGTCGTTGATATGCTTTGACATTATTGAGCTTCATTTGCCTGATCGTGTTATGCGGCAGTTTGGCTATGAGCAGGTCATTCCAGCACATGTCGACACATTTGTAGATCTTCATAAGCTGGATAGGCGTGGGAAGCCTATAGAGGATTGGTCGCTCAGACACGCCCGATACGTGGCTATATGGGATAGGCGAACGAAGCTTGTTGTGACTGGGACGCCGACATTTGTCCCAATTGTTTCTATAGACTATATGAGATGGTATTACAACATCACGTGTGTGTTTGTATCTCCATCTTTCAGACTCCCTACTCACCATTATCAGTCTAGTTCCATGCCTTTGCACTTGACGGTGAGTGTGCCCCTGCCTCCCGCTAACGGCCAAGTCTCCTTCTCTACAAGAATTCTTTACTTTTACTCTCCGACTAATTTTTCGCACTTTTACATCCAATGATGGCAATGAACTCTCCACTACCAGTGACTACTCTCTCTTTACTTGTAATTCATTACTTCAAATACATTACTAATTTACTATGCACAAATACACGATTCAGGTGGCTGAAATTATTTCAAAATCATTACTACGTAGACTTCCTGATGGAGTATATGGGCCTGGACCCCAGGGCCCACATACTCGGGAGAACAGAAGGTGCCACGACCACCTAGTGGGACCCTCGTCGGCCAGATGACCCCCGTCGGCCAGAAGGAAGTCTACTCAGAATATGATCCAGAAGCCAGGAAGAGCCGAGTGACCTCTTCGCCCGGGTCTTCGTCGGCCACGCCCTCATCGGCCGTGCCCTCATCGGCCTCATGTGGCCACTAGAATAGGGTTTTATACTTAATCTTTTCTATGTACTTTGTATCCGGCCCATTAGTGGCCCTATTGTAGATGGTCCTCTCGAGCCCAAGACTCGGGAGCCCAGCCCTAATTTTTCCTATAAATACTCTCTCTGGGAGTAGTTGTAAGGGTTCACAATTCATTAATACAAAGAAAATATACTACTTGTCTCTCTAGCTCTCACTTCTCTCTAGACATATTCTATCATTTGGTGCTTTCATTGAGAGCTAGAACAATCAGGTTAGCCTCCTTCGCCGCTACCAAGCACAACTATCTAAAAATGGGAAGGACTAAGTCAAACCGCAACCTCCTCAGCAAGGCCATCCCTGAGGCACAGGAGAACCAAGAGCACGAGGAGGACGCCACGGCCGACAAGGCTGCCGGGGGGGATGTCTTCCAGGAAGCCATCGACCTCACAGGAGACCTACACAACAAGCTCAACGGCGGCACCCCTGACGCCCACATCGGCTTGGACAATAAGCGTGCGGAGAAAGGTGACAACACCTCGGCGCAACCGGCCTCCCCCGCTGTTGACCTTCAGCTCCAGGCCACGCTCTCGGCCATCATCGCTAGCTTGGCCCAGAACCCCAGGCCACCGTCCTCAGCGCACTCATGCCAAGGACGGGGGAGAACACGACGTCGCCTCCTCAACCCCAACCATTGGCCGTCAGGCTAGGCAACGATTAGGGGGTGGTGCCCCAGGACACAATGTCGTCCCACTCCCACCCCGCTTCCCCGCTTCGAGCTGGACCGACCCCAGTGCGTGGAAAAGCCTCAGCCTTTAACACGCTAGGTGACACGTGTCATCGGCCTGCTTCGGAGAGGATGGCGGGGCGGATTGGGCAGCGTGAGCCTGGCCCACCCAGGGAAAGCTTGGGGTCAGTATCCCGGACAGCGGATCGGCCCCGCCTGGGCAAAGGCAAGGGGAAACTGCATGAGGATATATGATGCCCGTCACCAAATCAACACGGCTCATGCAGCCCGCTTGAAAACTCAGGGCACCACCATGGCCGCCAGGGACCCCAAGGACGAGGTGATTGCCCAACTTGAGCGGAGGCTCGCCCAGATGGAGGCCAAACAGCTGGTCGCCATGCCCACCGGCAACTCATCCAGAGATCCCGGCTTCAACGCCCTTCTGAACAAGGTCACTATCCTTGAGAGGGAGTTGGCCGAAGGACGAGGAGACCCCATCATCCAGGTCAGGACGAGGACCCCCTTTACCACCAGGGTACTCTCGGCCCTTATCCTCGAGAAGTACCGGGGAAACGCCATCAAGCCCTATGACGGCCGCTCCGACCCCAGGAGCACTTCAGCCGCTACCAGAACAACATGCTGATGGTGAACGCGTCAGATGAATACCTTTGCCGCTGGTTCCTTTCCACTCTTGAAGGGCCAGCGTATGAGTGGTTTAACGCACTCCACGAGGGGAGCATAGACTCGTGGAAAGTCCTTGCCCAGCGCTTCCTCACTCATTTTGCCGAAAGGAAGCACGCGAAGAGATACTTTACCCATCTACTCTCCGTCAAGTAGCAGCATGACGAATCACTCCGGTTGTTCATTGACCGGTGGACGAGGGAGACTGATGAGGTCGAGGGGACCGATGAGCGCACCCTCCCCATACTCTTTCAGGGTGCCCTCCGCAGCACCCCATACGCGAGGAGCCTCATCACTGACCCACCGAGGTCTTATCTGAAGGCGCTTCAGCGAGGAAACTTATACGCTGACGCCGACGAGCTTCACAGCCACGAGAAGGACGGGGGACACCCCTCCAAGAAGACAAACGCCGCGTCAGCCGCAGGCGCACCCTCGGCTGGGGACCGAGGTCAGGGAGGACAAGGCCGCCATGGATCTAGCGGAAAGAACAAAGACCGCATATTGCGGCCGAGGATGGAGAGGCCGAAGACCCCACTTACCCATTCGGTCAACACCATCCTCGATTACGCCGAGGAGCACGACCTCATTGAGCGAGATCCTCGCCCGGCAAAGGAGATCTATGCCGTCCATCAGGGCGGCACCTACTGCCGTTATCACTGGAACACCTCCCACAACACAGATGATTGTGTCACTCTGAAGAGGCACATTGAGAAGCTGATTCGTCAGGGGGAACTCTCCCAGTTTGTTAAAGGTGGCCCACGCAAAAATACGTGGGTAAACACCGGCAAACATGGGGGCGAACCCTCTACGAAGAAGCATGAGATCGACAGGCTCAGTGATGACGATGAAGACTTCGAAGAGCCCCCTCCGAAGAAGAACCACATCAACCTCATTATGGGGCGTAACACTGGGGGGGATTCGGCCACCCAGAGGAAGAAATGGGCCCAATCTCTTTACATCGGGGAGGTGTCCCACGCTCCCCCCCAGCCGAAGAAACAACGGGCGGAGGCGATCACCTTCACCGACAAGGATCTGCCTCCGGGGCCCGCATCACACAGGGACGCCCTCGTCATCCGGTGCGAAATAGGTGACTCTATCATCCACCGCACCTACATCGACATGGGGAGCTCCGTCAACGTCATGTACCTTGACACCTTCAGGCAGCTAAAGCTGGAGAGAGCGCTGCTCAAGCCGATACAGACACCGTTGTCCGGTTTCACCGGGGACTCTATCGACTCCGAGGGCACGATAGTCTTCCCCGTGGAGGTCGATGACGGCTCCCATCGCATCAAGATCGACATGGAATTCATGGTGGTCAACCTCGAGTGCGCCCACAACTTGATATGGGGGCGGCCAGGACTAGAGGATTTGGAAGCCATCATCTCCATGAAACATCTATGCCTGAAGTTCCCCACTAGCGGTGGTATCGACTACGCCCGAGGGAACCAGAAGATAGCCCGGGCATGCTACCTGAAACTGACAAAGCCGGCAGCGTCGGGCAGAGAATAGACACCATCACCACCACCGTCTCCAAGGACGAAGAAAGGCCGCATGCTGAGCCAGCCGAAAAGGTCGAGGAGGTCTCCCTGGACACCTCCCGGCCGGAGCGGGTCCTGAAAATCGGGAGGCAACTCCCACAGGACCAACGCGAAGGCATCCTCGACGTCCTTATATAACTATGTATATAATCGTGTGTTTTTTTATGAAGGAACAACTTTATTATAATATCAGGTGGTATTACAAAATGTAGAAAAGGAAAATTACATCGGAATGAAAAGCTAAAGAGTCCGGTAAGGTGTGTGAAAAAACAGCAAAAGGCCATAAGAGTGGGCCTTGGTTGGCCCAGGAGGCCCAGGGAATATTTGATCAGAACATAATGCTGCCAAGAGATCGTTGGACGCTTCCAAAGAGGATTAGGGTTCCAGAGGTTTCCGATTGAGAGAGAGCGGAGTCATACCATCCCCATCCTCATCCACCAAAACGAACAAGACTCAACCAGTGTCTCTAAAGAAGGATGCGCCATGTTTATCATCGTAATAGGATTTCTTTGCTCTTGAGGGGAGTCGATCGATAGTGAAAGAAGCCATCGTGTGACGACAGAGCCCGAACTTTGCGAGATGATGTGCGCAAGTGTTGGTCTCTCGAGGTGCGTAACAGAAGGACAGTCGATTTGCAAGCTTCAAGTCAGTGATTTTCTTCACCAGTGGATGCAGAGAATCAGGTACTTTCGAGAAACATTGTATCATTCTTACACTTTTTTCGGAGTCTGACTGAATGGTAAATGATTTGTAACCCCTTTTGACCAATTCAGCTATGGAGATGAGAATCGCTATCATTTCAGCGTGAAGCGGCCCTGTTGCGGTTAAAGGGAAAGCAATCGCCTCTTTGAAGTTTCCAGACTGATCTCGTAGGATCGCACCTCCTGCGCTGCTGTGGGGGAAATAGGAAGCATCTGTGTTAAGGGTAAGCATATTTCTGCTTAAGTCTTTCCACCTCAAGATGTTTGTTGGGTTGTTTTTCTTGATGGAAGGCATTAATCCATCAGAGTGGTGATCCTCATCGTACTGGAAGTATTTTTTCTTGTGATTGCTGTAAATCCAATTTCTTGTATACTCCTTTATTGTTTGTATTATGAGTGGCCTTGAAAAAGATTTTCCATCCCAAATACAATTGTTGTATGCTTTCCATATGTGCCAAACAATAATGCCAGACATACAATGTCTGAGTATGGACCTTATGTTGTTACCTCTTCCCCCTAACCACCATAAAATTAGGGTTTGTCTTAGCTCTTGGTGATCTGTTGTTCTAACCTGCAAAATGTGAGAGAAGTAGACCCAAATTGGTCTAATATTAGCACAATTAAATAAAACATGGTCCTGGTTCTCAGTGTGTGAAAGGCAGAAAGGACATCGGGATGCCATTTGGATACTGAACCGGGTTAGGGTTTTTGGGAAAGGGAGACACTGGTTAAGGATTTTCCAAATGAAGATTTTAATTTCCAAATGATGGTTGCATTTCACGGGCTTGGTTGTAGGCACTAGAGTGGGAGAAGTGACCATGTAGTATTTTGTATATCTTGCATGTTTTGGACACATTGCATTTCAACCAGACAATAATGCCAGGCATACAATGTCTGAGTATGGACCTTATGTTGTTACCTCTTCCCCCTAACCACCATAACATTAGGGCTTGTTGCATTTTACATGCATACATATGGTATTTCTACATGTATATATGAAATTGAACATGTAGTATTTTGTATATCTTGCATGTTTTGTATCTATGTTTGCTACATTTATATGTATGGTGGAGATGCTATCGGATATGGTGGCTGCCGGTTGATGTAGCACCATAGGGTGCTGCGGCGGTAGTGCCATGAGGAGTTTGTAATGGCATCATAAGGAATGTCGTCACTCCATTATGGTTTTCCAAATTTCTCCGTGAAGCTATAGAATAAGTTTTGGACTTATTACTATATTTGTGATCCACTTTGAATAAATTAAATTGTGCTATTTTAATTTGGATCGATAAGATTTTGTGTGTTGAGGAATAGTTTAATTCTTTTTCCAGCACATTCATTTTAATTGTTACGTGATGCATTGTTTTTTAATCTTTATGCATTGCATTTAAATTGTGCATTGAAATCGCGCACTATATTGATACGGCCTGTAATGCATAACATCAGAAATTAATGCCTTTATTGCATAGTATTAATGTCTTTAATGCGTAACATATTATTAATTCTTTTAATGCGTAATATTAATGTCCTTAATGTGTAACGTATTATTAATGCTTTTAATGCGTATTATTAATGTCTTTAATACGTAACGTATTATTAATGTCTTGAATGCATAACGTCGGGAATTAATGCACACATTATTCCCATTAAAGTTGAACTTATGCATAATTATAATTGAAATGGTGCCTGCGATTTAAGCACATTAAGTAAATAAAATTCTCATTCCATTACCTTTAAAGTTTTTCTCATAAATAAAATATTTGTGGTAGTACCCAAACAACAATTAACGTGATAAATTTAGACTGGGGAAATTTCTTGGGAAGTAAAAACTGGTTACGCTTCAATTCTTTATACTAGTTTTTTCCTCGAACTGTTAATTTATCTAAAGAATTACTCTTTAATAAATCCTAGCCCCGACTGACTATCCTGGGAGCATATTAGGGGATTGTCCATCACGATTTTTGTTTTTTAAAACTTTAAAGGATTCCCTTTGTGATAATATAAATTTATTAATTTTGGAGTAGCCACAACATCCGTAATTAAGAAGCCCTTGGCGGAAATCACATTAAAGTTAGGCATAATATTTGTAATTAATTATACGTGATATGACATAATTTATCCCACAAGAAATTTTGTTATATTTGTATGATTAATTAGGATAAAATATCGGACTATGGTCTTAATTCATCCCACAGGAAATTATGATTCGGAATATAGTATGATATGCTTATCGGTATGGGTACACAATTTTTAAGACTCATGCATAAGAATTTATCCCACAAGCAATTTTTATGGCGATTGAGTCATCATGGTGCATCATTTACATTGGTAATGCATGCAATTAAGTTATATATGTACCTCAAAACTAACACAAATTATATATATAAATCTTTTTTCAGCTTCTCAACCCATTACTCATTCCAAAATTTCATTAGGCCTTGAAATTCCTGAACTAAGTGGTGACAACTATAAGGTTTGGAGAGAAAGAGTTCTCCTACACTTAGGTTGCATGGACATTGATTATGCTATTAGGAAGGATGAACCACCCGTCATTAATGCACAAAGTACTCCGGCTGAAATTGCGCTATATGAGCGATGGGAGAGATCCAATCGGCTCAGTGTAATGTTTATCAAAACTAAAATTTCAGCTGGAATTCGTGGCTTGATTGATCAGCATAAGAATGTCAATAACTTGCTTAAGGATATTGATGATCAATTTGTCACTTCAGAAAAGGCTTTACCAAGTACCTTAATCATGAAATTCTCCTCATTTCGTCTCACAACCGTTAAGGGTGCGCGAAAGCACATCAAGAACAAATTTGATAAGTCTCGTACAACCACCTCTAAAGCTAAGGGTAAAGGTAAAATACCACCCAAAGCTGACATTAAAAAGGTACATAAGTGTTATTTCTGTAAAAAGAAAGGACACATGAAGACAGATTGTGCCAAGTTCAAGAAGTGGTTGGAGAATAAAGGTAACTTATCTTCCTTTGTTTGTCATGAATCCAATATGTGTGATGTTAACACTAATTCGTGGTGGATTGATTCTGGTTCTACAATCCACGTTGCAAACTCTTTACAGGGTATGCAGAATCTAAGGAAGACAGTGGGAAGTGAGCAAATCATCTTATTTGGAAAAAAGATGGGCTCACATGTGGAAGCCATTGGAACATGCACTTTAATTTTAAGTAGTGGCTTTGTTTTAACTTTGGAAAAGACTTTTTATGTACCAAGTTTCTCACGAAACTTGATTTCAATTTCAAGACTAGTACCATTCGGTTTTTCCTTCAATTTCAAGAATAAAGTTATTGAATTATTCAATAAATCTACTTTTGTTGGAAAAGGTACTTTGTCTGATGGTCTTTACCGTATTGATTTGCAAAATGATGCCACACTTAATTCATTTCATGTGCATATTGGCTCCAAAAGATCTAGTGTTGACGAGAACTCCTCTATGTTGTGGCACTGGAGATTAGGTCACATCTCCATTGAAAGAATTAAGCAATTAGTTAATGATGGGGTACTTAGTATCCTTGATTTTTCTGATTTTGAAACTTGTGTAGACTGCATTAAGGGTAAGCAGACAAACAAGTTTAAAAAGGGTGCTAATAGGAGTTCAAGTATATTGGAAATCATACATATTGACATATGTTGTCCGGAAATGGACTTGCCGGGTTAGAAATACTTTATCACCTTTATTGACGATTATTCTCGGTATACCTATGTGTATTTGCTTCAAAATAAGTATGAAGCATTGGATGCCTTCAAGTCTTTTAAGGCTGAAGTTGAGAACCAATGTGGGAAACAAATACAAATAGTTAGATCCGATAGAGGTGGTGAATATTATGGTAGATACACTGAAAATGGACAAGCACCTAGTGCGTTTGCTAAGTTTCTTCAAGAACATGGGATTGTTACCCAATACACTATGTTTGGGTCTCCAGACCAAAATAGTGTTGCAGAAAGGAGAAACCGAATGCTTATTGACATGGTGCGTAGTATGCTTAGCAACTCCAATCTTCCTAAGTTTTTGTGGGCTGAAGCACTAAAGACGACAACGTATATATTGAACCGAGTTCCAACCAAGGCTGTCCCTAAGACACCTTTTGAGTTATTCAAAGGTTGGAAACCGAGTTTAAAACATATGCGTATTTGGGGATGCCCGTCTGAAGTGAGAATATATAACCCACATGAGAAGAATTTGGACCCAAGGACTATTAATGGTTTCTTTATTGGATATGTGCAGTCCTCTAAGGGTTATAGGTTTTATTATCCATCTCATACGACTAGGATTGTGGAATCCAGAAATGCAAAATTTCTTGAGAATGACGTAGTTAGTGGAAGAGATCGGTTCAGGGACTTGATTCCTGTTCATGATCATACGGAATCCCAACCTTCCACGTCATCACAGAGGTTGATTATTGTTCAAAGCATCCCTCAAGGTCAAATTGGTACTCATCAACCTACTACAGAAATTCCACAATATGCTGAAAATATTCCAGTGGATCAACCTATTCAGGAAAATCAAATTCCTGATGAGGTAGTTGAACCTGAAGATCCTCAAGGAGATGATGGTTCAACATTAAGAAGGTCTACTCGAGTTAGAAGGTCAGCAATTCCTAGTGATTATGAAGTGTATTTGCAAGAAACTGACATTGGAGCTGAAGATGATCCTGAAACGTTTTCACAAGCCATGAGTAGCCAGGAGTCTGATTTATGGCACAAATCCATGAAGGAAGAAATGGACTCCATGAAGAGTAACAAAGTTTGGGATCTAGTAGAGTTGCCTAACGGGGCCAAGGTTGTTGGCTGCAAATGGGTCTATAAGACCAAAAGGGATTCATTAGGCAACATTGATAGATATAAAGCAAGACTTGTTGCTAAAGGTTTTACTCAAATAGAAGAAATTAACTACAAGGAGACATTCTCTCCTGTTTCTAAGAAAGATTCCCTTGGTGTGATTTTAGCCTTAGTTGCACATTTCAATCTTGAATTGCAACAAATGGATGTGAAAACAGGCTTTCTTAATGGTGATCTAGAAGAAGAGGTTTACATGAAACAGCCTGAAGGTTTTTCTTCTAGTCATGGTGAGCATTTAGTTTGCAAGCGTAATAAATCCATTTACGGTTTAAAACAAGCCCCCCGACAATGGTATCTCAAGTTCGATGGGATAATTTATTCCTTTGGTTTTGTTGAAAGTCCCATGGATCATTGTATATACCAGAAGGTTAGTGGGAGTGAAATTTGTTTTCTTGTTTTATATGTGGATGATATTTTGCTCGCAACAAATGATAAGGGGACGGTACATGAAGTGAAACAATTTCTCTTTAAAAAATTTGATATGAAGGATATGGGTGAGACATCTTTTGTCATTGGCATAAAGATCCATAGGGATAGATCTCTTGGTATTCTTGGTCTATCACAAGAAACCTATATTAACGGAGTTTTAGAGAGGTTTCGGATGAAGGATTGTTCACCGAGTGTTGCTCCCATAGTGAGAGGAGATAAATTCAGTTTGGACCAATGTCCAAAGAATGATTTTGAACGAAAATCCATGCATAATATTCCATATGCATCAGCAGTTGGTTGCTTGGGATATATCCAGGTTTGCACCAGGCTGGATATTTCCTTTGCTGTCGGGATGTTGGGCCGCTACCAGAGTAATCCGGGTTTGGACCACTGGAGAGCTACTAAAAAGGTCATGAGGTATCTTTAGGGAACAATTGATTACAAGCTTGTGTATAGAAGAACTGACAACTTGAAAGTTGTGGGTTATTCTGAATCGGACTACACCAGTTGTGTTGATTCAAGAAAATCAATTTCGGGATATAATTTTATCATGGCCGGTGGAGCTGTTTCATGGAAGAGCACCAAACAAACTTTGGTCGCTACTTCTACTATGGAGACCGAGCTCATTTCTTGTTTTGAGGCTACATCGCAAGGTGTATGGCTTAAGAATTTTATTTCTGGGCTTAGAGTTATGGACTCAATATCTAGGCCATTAAAGGTTTATTGTGACAACTCTGCTGCGGTCTTCCTATCAAAGAATGACAAAAGTGGGAGTCGAATTAAGCATATCGACACCAAATATTTGTCTATAAGGGAGCACGTCAAAAATAAAATAGTGGTCATTGAGCATATTAGCACAGAGTTGATGATTGCTGATCCTTTGACTAAAGGCATGCCACCATTCAAATTCAAGGATCATGTGCCGAATATGGGACTTTGTTCCAATTTGTATTAATACATTCAGTTATTTACGAAATTCTTATGCATTAAGACACTTTTCTCATTAAGATGCGCAAATTTCATTATGTTGAGAAAATGTACTTTTTATTTTTGGACCAGTAATAAACATAAGGTTTATTCATTAAGTTTTATTGCCATAACTTAAGGGGCAAGATGCATAGTGATCATTAGTGGTACTACTCGAGCTAAGAGGACGTAGCACCGTGGTTCATGTCTTTTGTTTCTTAAGGTTAGCCATTGCACCAAGTGGGAGAATGTAACATTATTTTGAATTAATCAATAATAATGTCCCATAAGTGTGGTGCAATGATGGCGGATATTTGTAACGGTTTCCGTTACAAGAGTCACCTTGATGGTAGGTGATTATATATATTGTTCCATGGTCCTCCCACTCCTTCTAAGGCATAAGGCTCAAAGCTCACATAAAATATATACACCATCTAGATAGTGAGGAGTGAAGTGGGAGACGAAAAGGCTTTCCGGGGTTCTCCCACGTTCTTCGACCATTCATCAACAATATGGCTGGAGGTTAGCGATCCTATTATTTCCGCTGCGTTTATATGATTTTAGGCTAACATGGGGGCCATATGGCTATCCTAAGGGATCCTTGTTTTGGGGATGGTGTTGTGTTACAAGTGGATAAACAACATATACATGTTAGGTTTACTTGTAAAACAATTCAATTACCCTTTTGTGCAACCTTAGCTTTATATATGCCTTATATATGGTTGTGCAAAGGAGGGAATTATGGGAGCATATATCCAATCTTGGTACTAATACTTTAGCTTCGTGGGTTATTTTGGGTCACCTAATTTTTTTTTGTCCCGGTAGGCAAACCACCCATTGGTAGGGTACATGCCAGGGATCATTTACCGGAATTTTATTAAATTAAAATTGAAAGTACAATCAGAGAGGGGGACTACACAAAAACCTCTCTATAGAAGGCATACCTTCTCGAAATACAAGACATAGAACATAAATAATAAAATAAATCAGAAGAAAGGATATGGGGGGGGGGGGGGGGGGGGCTATACCTGACCCATATAATGTAGGAGTCCATTATGCTATAAAGGTATAAGTTTTAGCTATGACATGAGATTGTATATGTAGTAAACATTTATTTATTGTATTAATTACTTTTCATGATCAATCAAACATGCTCAAATCTCAATTGTACTTTGAGATTTTGGACGAGAGAAAATATAGTTTTTTATAAGCACCATTCAAAAATTACCTTACCGATATTTGTAAGAGAGGGATGTTTAAGGACATCAAGCATGCAATACGTTCACAGTCTATCCAATCTCTCAATCCAACGCTTTGCTCCAAATGCCATGCCATAATGAAGTAGACGACGATAAATATTGATCACTTTGTTTCCATCATTTGCCTCCATATTCTCAACCCAAGTTATTTGTTATACAAATAAAAATACTATTTAAGATTCATATGGCGATAAATGGCTAAGAGATCAAATGTCTTTCAACATTTCACTTGTTTGTAAAAATTCAGTATACACTTACACGTTAAACATCTTGGTTAACAAAAGTTTTGCAATGTATTTTTCTTATTGATAAACACATAATATCAATTTCATTAGATAGAAATTCAATTTGATTCTGATTACAAGGAGTGCATAATATTAAATTTTTTAAGTAGAAGTAAAATAAAAAAATCTCAAATATAGGTCGGGTAATATGAATGGTGCTTAAAAAAACTTGATTCCATCTTGCCCAAATCTCATGGCACAATTGAGATTTGAGCATGCTTTATTGACCATGAAAAGTAATTAATACATTAAATAGTTGTTTACTAATATGTTTTCATGCTTGCAAATGATACCTTTAAAGCATTGTTAATTATACTACACATGAACCCAAAATGAACACATGAACATAAAATGTGCATTCTAATAAGGATCAACACACGAAGACATGAATTATTTAGTTTCTACGTATATATACACGTTCTTAGGATGTTTCCAATTGGAATGGTTTTAGCTCCACACTAGATTTCATTAGACTAGAATAAACATGACCAAAACTTATACAACAATAAAATACACATAATTTAGAACCAATGAATTAAATACT